TCTCATTCAGTTGCTACTAAGTGCCTCAAACAACACTCTTGAGGGGGGAATTCAATAAGAATGAATTGTGCTTGCTGATAATGTTGTTTATTTGCACACATTGTCAGCATTGTTTTAGCACCAGATAAAATAAAGGAATTATGCAAATCAGGTAATGGCGCCTACAAAATTGGTGCTGAACGCAGTTTGCATGGGATTTTACCTAGCTTGCAGGCTGATTCCTAGTGCTGCTCTAGATTGTGGAGGATGCAAGAAACACCTCAGTCTCCTCATCTGCACTGTTAAAAGTGTGCTTGACTAAACTGTGTATGGATCACTTACACACTCACACATATATACAGGTGCATCTCAATAAATTAGAATGTCGTGGAAAATTAGATTTTTTTATTTTCAGTGTTCTTTTAAATTTTAGTTTAATATTTTATTATTTTGTGCTTTATGCGCTTTTGTCATTTCTATTATTTTTTGTTCTTTATAAATATTAATATTTGTGTTTTTTATATTTCCATTTTTCCCTTTCCAGTTTTTATTTATTTCCAGTAGTAACTTTAGTGCTTCTACTTAAACTTATTTCAGCCTAATGTTTTAGCTAAGTTTGCATTTAATATTTATATTTTATTTGATTTGATTTTCACTTTATTTCAATAAAAAAAAATGTTTTTAATAGTTTTAGTTTTAGTTAACAATAATAACTGTATTCTGGAGTCTGCATATACAGTATGTCCGGTTATTATGCTCGTCTCCATAATTTGATGAAATATTACTGCCGTTTTTATTAGAAATTACACCAAAATCAGTTTTCTAGCGATGCATGAACTATTGATACCATATCAATTAACTAAATGTAAAAATATAGGAAATGAACACGCTCAAAATTAAATCATATCAAATATTGACAAATCTTACATATTTAATTGTGCATTTTTTTATCTATTTTTGTATTTAGATTATATTTACTTTCTTCTGACACTCAAAGTTAACCTTTAAAATCAATGTCCATTTTTATACTGTACATTATAATGCTGTAATAAAGTTGCTTTGGTAGCACTTAAAATGATTTTTTTTTTCATTTATTTGACAAAATACTCTAGAATATAATATCATAAAAATAGTTAGCACTTAACAGTATGAGGCAGAATTTTGATATCGGTGCATCCTTAAAAATGTGCCACGTTTTACATAGCCAATAATACTAATGTTAATTTTGACACAAAAAAGCATTAACAAGTATCATTTGCATTGAAAGAAAAAAAAATGTATTACGCTAACTTAATGTACTTAATTGTAGCATAGTGAAATGCTATACCAGCACATCTAACATATAGGGTTTTTACATTGAAATACTGTGTTATAACTATTTAGTGCACCTGAATATCTTCAAAGATTTGCACAGGTAAGACATTATTGATCAGCTCGATTCAAGCAATCAAACAATGACAGTCATAAATTCAACAGTATACTGAAGAGAAGGTCCAGTATGTTCTCAGCTGTCATGATAAGGAAAATCTGATATCTGATTGTGTGCTCTGTGTTCCTTCAGTGCCTGATAATTTTGGACTTTATCGGAGATTCTTGGGCGCTCTGAGTCATTGGTGTGACACATGCTGTCAGGTTGATGTGTACCCATCAGTCCTTGCACACTAACTGCACCTGAACTCCTCAGCTCTTTATGCAGGCTCTTCAAGAATCAAGATTAAACCACAGTTGAATTTCACAAGTGCAACACTCTGAATGATTGATTTTGCACATCAGAATCACCCTCACTCACAGATGGCAAAAGAGCGATGTTGAAGTCTTACGACACTTTGCTTTTCAATTATACATCGAGGATTTGGTTTGATGGGTGATTTCTTCTAATTTCTTATTCATTCTTGAGGAATCCTGCGCCTAGTTTTCTTCTGTGATAAATGCTAAATGCCAATTCTTCCTCTGACTCATGGGCTTTGTAAGAAAACATCAATGTACAGGAACAATGGAATGTGAAATATCTTTTCAACCATCAATCAAAATCTGTTGTTCTCTTTAATAAAAGAGTGGGAGTAAAATAATCCCATGTTTCCATAATGTTGGTAACATTCTCAATGTATGCGTGACCTTGAGGAAAGCAGGTCAGTTTACACATTGCATAGCTCTTTGCAAACAGTAGCCTGTGCCAAGGACTGACAAACATTCACACCTTTTCTAAGCGCACAGTAAAAAATAGCTTTCTACCTCAGTGGAAAGAATACGAAACTGCAAACTTCAGCTTTGTTCCCAAACATAGTGAGCTGCATAGACAACATTTTAAGGTGTCATAGACGTGTTCCCACTGCAATCGTTTTCCTAAAAGTTATGCAGCGTTTTAGAAACAACCTAAGCTAAATTCTAATACAGCATCACGTATCATTCATGGATAAAGCAATCCCAGAAATATGATATAATAATATTAAAATGATGTTTAATGATTTTAAATATTGAGTATTAGTTTTTGTCAAACACTATGCCCGTATCGGATTCAGAATGATGATCAAATCACAGATGGAATAGGTCACTTCCATCAATACCCACAAAGCTTACACAAGGTGCGTTTACATTACAGATTTGCGCAAAACTTACACAATATTTGATAGATGACAGCTATAACAAATGAAACTATTGCAAAATGACAGCGTTTCCATTAAACAATGTTATGTGACTAAAATGGCATTTTTTCCTCTTGCGATAAGTCATGATGATTAATGTTGGTAGGTTTACGTATATCGCAGCCACTGCACTAGTCATTATTTTTAATTGAAGGAGACAAAGACATGTATCTTTAAAGAAACAGCGTGTCGGAGCCTTAATGCGCAGCAGGCGAGAGTGGCCACTTATGAGGTGTTTCTTGGGGGTTATAGTATTATCATGTGACTTTTACGCACACAAGGTGATCTGTAAATGTGACAGTACTGTTTCCATTGCAGTTTTGTGAAATAGTCATACTTTTTCGAATTGCCTGAAAACCACCTTCTGCAAGCGCAAAAACCTTTTTGCGATATATGGGAGTTTTTGCAAAATTGACGTGTTTCCATTGGGCGTATATTCAATTCGCAATTTCAATTTGTGCAAGTTGAAGGGTAATGTAAACGCAGCTACAGTCAAATACCAGTTCCTGGGTCTATATTTCATTCAGTAATGTTAGGCAGTTTTAATTTATTTGCTGTTTAATCTGTTTCTGCTTCTTCACATGTTCTGATTGAGAGATTCAGTACACTTTCAGAAGATGTGTAACAGCGCCTCCTACTGTATAACTGTGAAAGCACAGAAAGCAAGAAAATTCTGTCAATGGTGGGGGAGCGTTGTCTCATAAATGATGGAAAATTACACCAATGGAGGGGAAAGAGTTCAGAGAATCAATAACTAAGCAACATGCTAACATTAAACTATAACAAATATGAGGTTGCAGGATGGTGAGAAAATTATGTTTCCATAGAAAATGACGAATCTTACTAGGTTTTGTAACATCACTGTTGGGGGAGAGACAGAAAAAAAACAACAAAAAAAAAACAATTTTAGCTGGTAGGTCAACTGGTCTTATAGACTGACCAGCTAACCACTGTAACCAGTAGCCAAAATCACTCAAAAACAACCAATCAGACTTGCCTGAGTATGTAAGACCAGCAGCAGTGAGAGCTCTAATGTCTTTGTTTCCATCTGTATACACGGGTGCATTAATGCATGGGCTTCAAGGGGCTGAAGCCCAGGGGCCTACACTGGAAAGTGGGCCCACTGGCTGCAGGGAAATTATATTTTTTGAATAATTATTTATATGGGAGTTTGCAGCAGTGACAACAGCATTCTCTAAACAAATGCGCACACTCATTTTCAGCGACGCCCTGGTTGTAGTAGCCTATATAGTGAATGACTTAGTTTAGGTCCTCCCCACACAGTTTGTATAGTTGGTATGTTCCACGTGTTCCATCGATATACTGTAAGCGGAATGTACAATGCATTCGCTAGTAAATAAGCGCAGTACCAGAGTATCTTTATGTCAACACACAGATTAACAGAAACACAACACTGCTGTGTGAAAGGAACTGGACCGGACAATGTTCTGTAATGTCATACAGTGAGAGTTCAGTAACTTGCTTGGATGTAATCTGTGTGTCATCTGTGTTCCATAAATAGTGCTGCTTCAAAGTCTCAATTTTAAATCTGGGAATGGAAAAATAGGAATTGTCCTATTGCTTAAATGTGATTAAACTTTATACGCTGTGATTTAACTAATTAAACGTGAGCATGTCATGTTTCAAAATAAAAACACACTTAGCAATCACCAAATAACCCACATTTATGCCAACATGCCATGTTGTTTTGATCTACTGATGATGAATAATTAATATTGTGTGTGATTTATGGTGTTTAAATCATACCTGTAAACTCATATTTCAGCCAGGAAAGTTTTGATGGCATTTTTCTTTCATATTACCTCCGTATAATGCCCTTAATAACGTACTGTTTACTTTATGTAACGGCTTTATAATTCTGCTGTTCCACAAGCACCACCTTGTGGCAAAGATTAATTTGCATATTCGCTTATAATCACATTTTACGTAGAACAGTGTTGTGAATGTTAAATGGCATATTAACAAGACAAAAAACGAAATTTGACAAATAATTGTTAGGAAGCTTAAAAAAAGAAGAAAAAAGGAGGTTTTCTAGGGTCGGGGGGCCTACTGTAATGCTGTAGCCCAGGGGCCTTTGGTTATCTTAAGGCGCCCCTGTGTATACACATTATTTATTGCCATATTTATGTAATTTGTCACATGCTGTTGCAATGCAAGGTCTTATGTTACATCTTTGAGAAAAATAATGTGTCCTTGGACTTCCTAACTGCAGAAAAATTACAATAAACCAATATTGACTTGACTTGAAAATAAGTCAAATCAGTCTAAACTCAAAATAAATGCGATAAAAAGGAGCTCTGTGAGTTTCAACATTCTTTATGTGTGTGTGTGTGTGTGTGTGTGTGTGTGTTTGATCAGATGAAGTCTGCCAGAGCTGGTGATGAAGGACTCTTCACGGAGAGCTACTGTAACATCTGCAACGCTCAGCTGATCTCTGAGTCCCAGCGCGTGGCACACTACGAGGTGAGCACACACATACAAAGAGAGAGAGCAGTGACACACATTACGTTAAAAGCAGGCCTCATCAATTGATCATCAGGGATGTAATAATCATTTGTAACCTAAATGCTTCTCTCATGTATCTTTCAGTCGCTGCTTTTAAAGTTGTAATGCAGTGCACCTTTCCTCAGACCCACAACCCCTTCATAAGTAACCCAATGATTGACCATTAAATAATCATCCTCCTGCATTGTTTACATCTCTCACAAACGGTTCCTGAGACCACAGAGTACGCAATCACTAGATTAATGAGCGCGCTAATGAGGACAAACTCCTTTGCACAAAATCAGTGTAGCTGAGGGAACATGTCTGTTCAACAGGATCATTCGGCCAGATTGGTTTACGAAGAGAAGCCAGTGAGCTATATTCAGTGTTACGGTAACACTTTAGCTCTTCTGTCATTGATCCCTGCGATCCCTCGGCTTGAATAAACGCTCTCAGATGTCACAGTGTGAGGCTGATGTCCTGAATTACGCGTGAATGAAGGCTGGATTTACTTGTATTCATTTAAATACAATGATACATTTTCCCTCAAATGGTTTTAAATGGTTATTTTTGACAGTCAGAAGAACTGTAATTTCAACCAGCTGAAAATGACTAATCCAAGTAAAATGACATTATTTATTTCAAAATAACCATGATGCTTTTCACTAAATTAAAAAAAAAGTTATTTAAATATGTAATATGCCCAAATATAACAACACATAAAGTGCGATATTTATCTACACATATTTTTCAATAAGGCATTTTAATATATGAAAATATACAGAAGAAATTCTGATATTCATAACTTATTATTATTATTATTATTATTATTATTATTATAAAATAGTAATACATTTTAAATAAGTTTGAGTGAGCCACAGTCACAGAAAAATAACCTTTTTATTTATATTTCTTTTTTATATTAATTAAATGTTTAACCTAAGGTTTTTTTAACATTTATCAAATAAGATGTTTATTTCCTTTTGCTTTAAAAAAAAATAATATTTGTATATTATTTATATTTATATTAACAGATTTTCTAATTAACATATTATATTAAAATATTTTTTATCATATTAATATATGAGAAATGACACATGGGGAAATGTTTTGAAGGTACTGTTTTATTAAATTGAATTATTCATTGAAATAGACAACTCGAAAATCTGTAGTGATGATAAGTAGAGATAGCATAATAAATGTAATGATAAATTTATAAATTGAAAAATTGTACATTTAAATAAAATGTGTACATTTAAAAATCATAAAACATTTTCTTATTTACTAAAAAGAGCCAATTCATGTGACTCATTAATTTAGGAATCAATTCAGCAGTGTGAAACTGGCCTATTGTCAGCTTATTGGCCAATCACAATATTCACATTGTTGATTAATTTAGATTTTTCAAAAATAATGTTAATAATAAAAATAAAATCTGATATATCATCCCTATACACTATACACCTCAGATGAAAAATAATGCAACAATTTTTTCCCAAGTATCCAGAAAACTGTGTGTCCTCAAGGAAACTCCAAGTTGATGAACTCGTCACTGTGACCAGTTCATTTCAGGCCCCGAACCAACCGGCCATTTCCCTGGAGAAGTGAAGAGAAGGAAAGGGAGAGAATGAGAGAAAAGCAGAGAGACAGATAGAGATGTTCTGTGTGATAACATGAGTCTGCCACACCACAGCACGCATTAGAGTCGTTCCCCTGGGACTGAACCACACAAACTCTGTCCACCTGTCAGAGCAACTTTAATGGACTTTCGGATATCTCTGGGCCTTTTCCTCTTTCAATTTCTCTACATGCGAGCCTGTGTGCGCATTGCTGATAATCTGATGGATAGCTAAAGGACATATACTAAAAGCTTGGGTTTAATGTCTTATCTCAGTCCTGAGAGAAACCTTGTTACCTGTCGGCTGCCCTTCACTGTCCGGCTTGGACACTTCTGTCTTCTTAATATCACTCTGTATTGTTTGTCCTGTCCATTTCTCCATTCTGCTTTCACTTGTGTAAGAAATTAACTCATTTGTAAGGGAATTAATTATTATTATTTCATTCAGGTTTTGAGAGGACTCGGATCTGAATATTCGAAGTCAACCTGATTAGAACTGATTCCAAATTTGATAATTTACACCTTATCTACCGTTCGTCCAGCGAGACGTTAGCATCCGTGTATATTAACAATTTTAATATCTGTATTCTCCCTGGCCACGGGTTAATACATGTTTTGATAAGTTATAAGCTACGAGCTAGGTAACAAGGATCTTTGGCAAGGTTTGACTTTAAAATTATACGACACCAGACAATGATTCTTTATAAATGAAAACAAAATTTATTGGCTATTCTAAATTACATTGACCTAAGCTAAGACATACACATACACACACACATACATACAGTCTCTGAAGAATGAAAATTATGTTAACGGAGTTCTGAGGAAAGCCCAAAGTTTTAGCAAGATATTCGCTACAGTTCTCTTACTTGTGACTTGAGAAAATCATAAAGCAGAGGTTTGTCTTATGTTTACTGCTTAAATTAGCTCGGCACCAGTTCAGCAGAGATAAGATTTTGTTCGTTTACTTGCGTTTTGGGTGACAGCTAAAAAGCTGAGTTTCCTGGTTTGGCTGCTTGAGGGAATTCCGTTGCTGATTGGTTACTGAGGTGACGTCAGGATGGTGTCCCTTTGGGGAAACCCTTCCGGCGATTGGTTGGTTCCTTGATGACGCAGAGGCTTGAGCAGTT